TGGCCAGGCATAGTGGTTCATGCCTGTAATCCCAGCACTTGGGAGGCTGAGACAGGTGGATCACAATGTCAGGAGTTTGAGACCAGCCTGGCCAATATGGTGAAATCCCATCTCTAATAAAAATACAAAAATTAGCTGGGCTTGGTGGCAGATGCCTGTATTCCCAGGTACTCAGGAGGCTGAAGCAAAAGAATCGCTTGAAGCCAGAAGTCAGAAGTTGCAGTGAGCTGAGATCATGCCACTGCATTCCAGCCTGGGTAACAGAACAAGACTATGTCTCAAAAAAAAAAGTTGATATGCCTTTTTTCAATATAATATATATTTGGCCTTTACTAAAAGCTATGATTCATAGATTTAAATGAGGACATAAAATGAAAAACAGTATGAGAATTTTTGAGGGAAAAAAATAAAAGCAGTAACAGAGAGAACAACTTGGTGGAGAAGATAGCTTTTTAAATTAAAAAAAAAATCATAAGGATACCCTCAAGTATTACTATCCTAGCCCAGCCTCTATAAGAAGATTGTGGTGCCAGTCTCTACAGGGGTAGCCAATCTCTGATTTTGTTCTAAGACATGGAATATGCCAGATTTAGTGTTGTTCTAAAATCAAAATCCTCAGTATATAGTCATTGTCTTAATTTATCTAACGAAAATGGTAAAAGCAACTCTCAGAGGCAAAGTCAAAAGCTAAGGTAGTAAAATCAAACCATAAATATGGAACTGATAATATCACCTGTGTTGCTTCAGCAGCACACCACAACCAAATGCTAATTTTCTTTCACTTCCGTGAAAAGGGCAATGTCAGTAACGTATAACTACATACCCTAACTGAGGCTTGGTGTTCCAAAAGAAAGTGTGAACCCCAAAAATCAGAGAGAAGTCTCAGTTAATTTAGAAAGCTTATTGTGCCAAGGTTGAGTGTTAGATATAGTGAACTCCAAGTTTCTCTTCAAAGAATTAGTATGTCATTATGTTCAGCTTTCTTATTCTTTAACTCTCCATTTTAAAGTTTAATTTCCTTGTAGTTTCAGTAAACAACCTTTTCCACCAGTCCTAATCAATAGTTCACATCTATTTCTCTGCTCCCCTGCTGTATCCTGACTCATCCTAGTCACCTGATCCAATCACCTGCTCCATTCACCTGCCCTGGTCACCTGCTTTGACCTGAGTCACCTTTGGTCACCTGCTCTGACCTGTCCCGGCGTTCCCACCAAACTACCCACTTCACCACTCTGGCTCATTCCCCTTCTCCCTTTAAAATAGCCAGTCAGAATTAGCTTAGACTGTGCGGTCTAACCCTAGCCAATAGGGGAATGACACAGCAGTAGGGGCTCTCTACGTCAGAAATAAGAACCCCTTTCCCTCCCTTGTTCAGGTGTGCACTTGCCATTGCTCCATCTGTGAGATGCACTCTTCTGTAGAAGTAAATTGCCTTGCTGAGGAAATTTATATTCGAGTGCTACTTCTTATGGAGCACAGAAAATTTACATATAACAGGAGGATGTGCCCATGCCACAGCCCCAGAAAGTTCTAACTTCATGTGCCCAAGGTGATCAGGGCACAGCTGGTTTTACACATTTTAGGGAGACATAAGACATCAATCAATATGTAAGAAGTGCATTAGTTCCATCCAGAAAGGCGGAGATAGCTCAAAGCTAGCACCCCTGCACTGGGGCTTTCAGGATACAGGTAGGTAACAGACAGATGCTCGCATTCTTTTGAATTTTTGATAAGTCTTTCTGAAGGAGAAAATCAGAATATGCATCTCTCTCTGTGAGTAAAAGGGATGACTTGAATAGGAGGCAGTGTTGCCCTGAGCAGTTCCCAGCTTGAAGAGGCCCAAGATATTTTCCTTTCACAAAAGAAAGAATTAAAAAGAAAGAAACTCTGAAAGCATACAACTATTTTTGAGTAAACATAGTTGAATCAATACAAAGAATTTGAACATTCCTTGAAATATTAAAAACCCAAATTAAATTTTTTATAAGTGAGCAATGTGTACACAGTCATTAAACGGGCCTACTTAACTAAATTTTTATATAGCAATATTGGGATAATAATATTGAAAAAAGTGCAAAATCTTCATGTATTAACAGATAATGTCTACACTTGATATACCAAGATAGTCAAGCATGGAATTATAAGCATGTAATTTAGAAATAGGTACATAAATAACAAAACAGCCTAGGAAATTAAAAAATTCATTTTCTCTGGAAAGCAGAACTTGAAAGTAAGAAGTAGAAGTTTCTTTATTTTTAAAAATTCTAATGAGAAAATGAGAAATACAAAGTTTATGATCATGGAGCTCTCTCCCGAAATAAATGAGTCCTAGTTTAGTGCTGGATCAAATTATCTCTTGCAGCTTATTGCTCTGCTTGAGGGTTTAAAAGGTCCATAACACATTTGAAAATATTATAAGATAGAAAATAGTTAGTTTTGATCATACTTGTCCCCAGGCAGCTTAATTTTTGGAGTTGCACAGGAAAAGGCATTTCAGGAAGGAAACCCAGTTGAAATCTTTACTGGTGCCAATTCAGACTGAGAGTGAAGATGGTTCAGAGAAACATAGTAAAAAATGTTCCTTTAAATAATATTAACAAGGTTTATCTATGGCCCTTTCTATTACATTTCAAATGTTTGCCTTGTACCCCCAGGTCCACCACTCCAGGGAGCAGATGTTGTCTGCTAGATGCTCCAGAGACAACCTTACAAGCTCTATGTCCTTTTCTCCTGGCCGCCAAAGAAGTCATTCTCTTTGATGATTGTTGTGATCCTTGACTGAATATTCCTAGTGACGAGGAGCTTACTACTATTCAAATCTTCCTATCCCATTTGTGGCCACATCTAATGATTAGGAAGTAATTCTTTATAGTAAGTCAAGAGCTGTCTCCATCAGCTTTAACATGGACTTCCTATATATCACAAAAGAAGAACAAAAATAGGCCAAAGGAACGTAATGGAGCCCAGAAATGACTCATACATATGTTTTCCCCTGATTTATGAGGGAGATGACAGTGCAGTGCCATAGGGAAAGGATAGTCTTGTCAATAAATGGTGCTAGGTCAACTGGTTATCCATTTGGAAAATAATGAATTTCACACCTTCTCACAGCTTACACAGACATTAATTCCAAACAGGTTGCAATTTTAAATATGAAATATAAAACAATAAAGCTTTTAAAACATAGAATAATAACGATGATTTTTAATTAAGCAAAGATAACTCAAAAGGGATATATGATGCACTAACACAAAAGAAAAAATGATGTTTTAAAGACTCGAAATTAAAAAGTATTATTTATCAAAATAAACCATAAATGTAGTAAAAAGGCAAATTACAAAATAGTAGAGTATATTTGCAATACATGTATCTAACAAAGTAATCATACGTAGCATATGTGAAAGATAAAAAAAACCCCACAAATAGATAAGATTATAACCAAATAGTTTTTATAAAAGTAAAAGACTTGTATAGACATTCACAAGATGTCCAAATGGTGAATAAACATCATTATTCATCTGGGAATTGCAAATTAAAATTTCAGCCTCAGTAAAATATTACTATATGCTCATTAGAATATCTAAAATTTGTGAAAACAACTCAGAAAATAAGAGTTGGCAAGTAATTGCAATGATGAAAACTATTATATGCTGTGAATAAGAGCGTAAATTATTATAACCATGTTAGAAAACTACTTGAAAGTACAAAGCTCAATGTATGTGTACAGCAACATCCAGAAATATCATGCTGACATCTGTACCCAATAGAAATGTATACATATGTTCACAAAAGACAAAAACAGAAATTTTTAGAGCATACACAGAGAATATTCAGAGCATTCATGGTTGCCTAAACTAGAAGCAATTGAAAAGTATGTATTAGAATGTCGTACTTCAATGAGAATGAAAGAACCACACTGCATGTAACTACATGGAATAATCTCATAAGCCCCAAATCAAGTGAAAAAACCAGCCATAAAATAATAGATGCTGTATGATTTCAGTCATATGAAATTCAAGAACAGGCCAAATAGATCTATATAGCTAGAAGTTACAATAGCAGGGTACCCTCTGCACGTGCAAATTACTAAAAGAGGCTGTATTAAGGACAGAACACACACACACACACACACACACACACACATACACACACATATATATAAATATCTCATATATATATCATAAATATCATATAAATCCTCAGTATACACCTCATATATATGAGAGATATATTAGGAATTATATATATATATATATATATATATATATATATGAGTTTATTAAGTATTAACTTACATGGTCACATACTTACATGATCACAAAGTCCCACAATAGGCTGTCTGCAAGCTTGAGGAGCAAAGAGAGTTAGTCCAAGTCTCAAAACTGAACAACTCGGAGGTCAATGTTTGAGGACAGGAAGCATCCAGCATAAGAGAAAGATATAGGCTGGGAGCCTAGGCCAGTCTTGCCTTTTTACATTTTTGTGCCTTCTTTATATTTATTGGCAGCTGATGAGATGGTGCCCACCAGATAAAGGGTGGGTCTGCCTTCCCCAGCCCACTGACTCAAATGTTAATTTCCTCTGGCAACGCCCTCCTTGAATCCAGTCAAGTTGACACTCAGCATTAACCATCACAAGTCCACCCCTTGTCAACTTGAACCCATTCACATCTCCTAAGATCATGCATAATCAAATAAAGACAATAAGGAGGTCAGAATTATTCCTAACATAATGCAAGTATCCTTCCTATAACCAGAAATGCATCAATCCTCAACCAAAATACTATTACATAAAGTTAACAATACTTAAATTCTGATATAAAGTCAATAAATCTTATGTCACATGATAAAGGAAAAGGAAATAAAATGAAGATATTTTCTTAGTACAAATGTATACATGAACAAACATGTTTTTAACAAAAGAAGGAGGAAATACTCGTGACAGTTACAGTCCTTGTTTCTACACCTGGTCGTGTGGTTGTAGCTGGTATCTTCTACTACCCATTCTGTTTTCCCTTTCCCTTCAGCAAGCACCTCAGCAGGCTGTGATTTTTTTTTCCTGGTGGAGTGCCCCAAATCTTCATTCCTGAGGGGTCTGGACCATTTATAGTCTAGCCTGAACTGGGCTGTTATAGTTTCCCATTGACCTGAATCACAGGACTTGGTATTACTAAGAGACAGCCTAAAGCATCCGCTGTACTCTATGCATACTCTTCCTTACCAACATTATGGAGTGGTAGACTGATTTCATGTTGATAGTCCAAATCAGTCAACCCAGCCAACACTGTAACTCCCTTCTTAGCCTGTTAACTTAAAGGTAAGAGGAGCCCAAAGTGTCCAGGCAGCAACCTTAACTTCCAGTTTAATGGAATCATTCTTGTGTCTGCTGTGGCAGCATTCCGCCCTCTAGGCCAGCAGACCGTAATGTCACGGGAACAGGAAGCAAAAATTTTGCTAGTGGATCACTGAGGGTGATGGTGAGTGGTACCACTTCCACTTCCATCCCTTGATTCCTGTACCCGAGAATCCTAGCTGTAAGAGAAATAGTACCCTATTTTGGACTCTGATTCAGAACATACACAGCCTTCTGAAGAAATTTACCCTAGTCCTTCAAAGTACTGTCACTTAGTTGGCATTGTAATTGTGACTTCAAAAGGGCATTCCACTGTTCTAACAATCTAGCTGCTTCAGGATGATGGGGAACATGGTAAGACCAGTGAATTCCATTGAGCATGAGCCCACTGCTGCATTTCTTTAGCCATAAAGTGAATGCCTTGGTCAGAGGCAATGCTGTGTGGAATACCATGATGGTGGATAAGGCATTCCGTGGGTCCACAGAAACATTGGTTTCTGTAGTCTTGGCAGAAACATTGTGTACAGGATAGGTCTGGAGTAAGTATCTGTTCCAGCGAGGACAAACCTCTGCCCATTCCATAATAAAAGAGGTCTAATGTAATCCATCTGCCACCAGGTAGCTGGCTGCTCATCCTGAGGAATGCTTCCATATCGAGGACTCAGTGTGGTTTTTGCTGCTGGCAAATTGGGCATTCCGCAGTGGCCGTAGCCAGGTCAGCCTTGGTGAGTGGAAGTCCATGTTGCTGAGCCTATGCATAACCTCCATCCCTGCCACCATGGCCACTTTGTTCATGGGCCTATTGTGCAATGACAGTGGTGGCTGAAAAAAGAGGCTGGGTGGTGTCCACAGAACTGGTCAACATATCCACTTGATTACTAAATTCCTCTGCTAAGGTCACCTGTTGGTGAGTACTCACATGGGATACAAATATCTTCACAGTTTTTGACAACTCAGAGAGGTCCGTCCATATAGCTTTTCCCCAAATTTCTTTGTCACCAATTTTTCAATTATGCTTTTTTCAAATCGCTGACCATCCAGGCAAACCATTGGCTAGAGTCCACAGATCAGTATATAATCACACATCTGGTCATTTCTCCTTCCAGGCAAAGTGCACAACCAGGTGCACTGCTCGAAGTTCTGCCCACTGGGAAGATTCCCTTCACCTCTGTCCTTCAGGGATGTCCTAGAAAGGGGCTGAAGTGCCTCAGCACTCCACTTTCTGGTGATGCCTGCATATTGTGCAGAACCAACTGCAAACCAGGCCCTAGTCTTCACTTCCTCTGTCAACTGATCATAGGAGACTTCCCATGAGGCCATCAGTGCAGGCTGGGGAAGAGAAGGCAGGGCGGCAGGAGTGGAGACCATGGGCATTTGAGCCACTTCCTCAGGTAACTTACTTGTGCCATCAGGACCTGCTCAAGCCTGATCACGTATATACCACTTCCATTGATGACAGAATGCTGCTGAGCATGCTCACTTTATGGCTAATAGGTCAGAAAGTGCCCAGTTCATAATACGCAATATGGTGACTTGATGACCCATAGTCAAATGTTCAGTTTCCACCAAAGCCCAGTAACAGGCCAAGAGCTGTCTCTTAGAAGGATAGTAGTTATCTGAAGAAGATAGTTGGGCCTTGCTCCAAAATCCTAAAGGCAAAGAATAGAAATTTGCATATCAAGTGATAGCATTGTGTGTAACTCATTTTTATGCCTTTCACGTTGCTTAAAATGGTACTTTCTTTGTGGTAGGTGCTCAATCATTGTCTATTGGAAATAAGAACTTACGCTGCTAAGTCATTTCAGTGGGAGGTGAAGAGTGGTACATGCTACATTCCATCTAGCTGATGAATTTTCAGGTAGAATTCTGTCCTTCTTCACAGAATCTGCATAATTCTACTTGAATTTTTTTTTAACCCAAAGCTTGAGGCAAAGTATGAATAAAGCATGTGGGCCTTGGGATTAAAGCTGAAGCCTGTTATTTACTGAATGTGGGACCACTGGCAAGTCTTGCACCTCCTGAGCCTCAATCTTCTCATCTGTAAAGCAAATAGTCTCCGTGTGCGGGTGTTCCTTCAATCAACTTTTATTGAGTCCTATTCTATGTCATATTTTAGCTCATATGATTCTCAGATCACTCCTATCAGTTTGGCACCTATTTACTCCCAGGTAGTGCAGTCAATGAACGATACAACTACTCTTTAATCAACAAAGCATATGAAATAATCTGTACAAGAGTCATCATCTAACTGCTTTGTCACAAATCCTCTTCTCTAACAAGCCAACCCTGAGCCCCCTAGGAGAGGTAACAGCCCTTCTCTCATACTCTATGGTTGTGTCCTCTGGTTCTGTCTCTCGTAGCATCTATCTCATTGCTACAGATGTTCATTTTCCATTTCTTTCCACTGAGAATGAGTGACTCGCAGACAAGATATGACTTATCTTTGAATTGCCAGTACTAATATTATAAATTTTTAATCAAGCTTTAGTAAGTGAATAAATAGGTAAATGCAAATAAATAGGTAAATGTATATGAATGAATGTGTACTTTTTGTTTCACAGATTTGATTTTCTTTAAAGCAGGATATTATCGGCATGAAGCCACAGCAGATGTGGCAGATATAGCCAGTTGCCAACATAATATCTATTTTTTTCTTTCTTTCCGACTAAGAGGACGGTTTTCTTTACAGGCAAAACAAATAAAATGATCCTATCCTGCAGTAAAACACTGGTTATGCTATACTTATCCCCAGACCAGTTTCAAACCTATACTAGTAGATTAGTGACAATCCCTCCAGTGAACACCACACTGCTGAAAGTCAGACAACAAGCATGGTCTCAAGTGATCAGCCATCCAAGATAAAGGTTATCCATTTTCTGAGCACTCCTGCTCCTAAAATTCTTCTAATCCTCAATTCTTTGCATATAATCACCTCATTCCTGTGTTCAGAGAAACTATGTATAATAGATACCCAAAGGAAAACTACATTCCCCAATATCTTTTGCTGCAAATACATCATGTGACACAGCGTTGACCAATGAAATAAGGGAGGTCTACTGTGGATTTCTGTGAAAATTCACTTTCCTAATCTTGTCATGCTCCCACATCCTTGTTGCCTTCTTTTTTCTTGGAAGTCTCCCCTGAGGCAGAGAAACAATGACCCTATAAATTGAAATTTGCAGATATATGCCAGGACAAATAGTATAGGAAGGTCAGAGGAACTTATTTCCTTCTGGAACAACCCTGGATTACATACTCCTAGCTTTTTTTCACTTACTGGGATCTTCAAAGGAGCCCTTGCAACCCGTTACAGTCCTGACCACCACCTCTCACCAGTCCTGCTTTGGCATCTGTTCTAAGGGGAACACTGTGCCTATTCTGAGCAAGGATCAAGGCAGGGATGGACTAACCAACTCATCTCCATGTTGAGCTCAGAGCCCAGAGTGTGTGCAGGCCATCCTTCCTAGAATCTGGAAGTTGAGTGACAGTTCTCCCTGCACATCACTTGGCAGTAGACAGATATCATCTATGCATGACATTGTGTATCAGGCCATTCATGCATTGCTATAAAGAAAGATCTGAGGCTAGGGTAATAAAGAAAAGAGGTTTAATTTACTCACTATTTTGCAGGATGTACTGGAAACATGGCACTAGCATCTGCTTGGCTTCTGAGGGGCGTCAGAAAACTTCCAATCATGGCAGAAGATGAAGTCAGGGCAGGGGTCTCACATAGTGGGAGCAGAAGCAAGAGAGAGAGAGAGAATTATGGGGAGGTGCCATATAATTTTAAACAACCAGATCTTACGTGAACTCACTATCACGAGGATAGCACCAAGCCATGAGAGATCCGCCCGCATGACCCAATCACCTTCTAACAGGCCCTGCCTCCAACATTATGGATTACATTTCAAAGTGAAACTTGAGGGGACAAATATCCAAACCACAGCGCACAGCCAGAGGTGGTTATTGGTGGGACTAAGTTTCCTAGGTGGTCCTTGTAAGCAAACTAACATTCCTTCTCTTTTTCATAATGTGTCATCTCTTTCTGGAAAGCCCATGCTTTTAATCATATGAATTATTAGGCTTCCACCACCCAATTGTGGGGATATAAAGAAAAAAAGTGCAAACAAGGTGTGAGCTGGCACCTCAGGTTTCAAGATCTTAGAAAAATGGCTTGTGACAGAGCATACTGTCCTCAACACACCACACATGCACGTAACTCCGTGGCTTGTGAGAGTCCACAGCCCTCCTCAGTATTTCTGAGAATAAATAGGCAGCCATTGTTCTTGTGGCCTCCCCTGCCTTTTGGGCTCCAGATGCCTCATTCAGGGTCTCTATTATTCTCCACATTGACCTAGACTTGAAATCCAGTCCCTTCACTGATTTCTCATCAGCCTCCCACCCGCACTCCAAACTCACATGAAACGTGTGACTTTATAGAGTGGGTGTCACTTCACACACCATCGAGCCAACAAAGTGGCCAATTTCCCCTCTCCAAATAACCTTTTTGCAATCTCATCATTCAAGGCCCAGCCCCAAATCTACTCTCCAGCTCATCTCTCCCATTCCTTCTGTTGTTAGCCTTCTCCCTCCTAGGGCCACTGGGTTCTCTCCATGTCCCTGCAGAGGCACTCATGCGTTTCTCTGAAGTCCTTGGGTTCTACCCACCACATCAAACACTTGATTTTCCACATAGTATTTCTCTCCGTAAATGGATTCCTAGTGCCTATTGTTAGAATAATACCAAGTTCCCAGGTTTTTACACCAGCACTGCTGAGAGAAGGTTAGCAGCTATGTCACAATCCCTGTGATAATTCCACATTTCCTTCTTTCTGATTGAAGGAAGGACAGAATTCACTACGGTGGAGGCACAGCACGTCTCCAGTTCTGCTATTGCCTGGTCACACCGCAGCAGAGATCTGATCTTCTCTGTCTCATTAGCCCCAGATGAATCACAACTTCAGAGTCACAAATCAGTGGGAGCAACTCTCTTCTATTCAAAGAGCCACCAGCACCATTTGTAGTAAACGCTGTAGTAAATGCTGGCCACACACTGCTGTAATTGGCTGCTTTTTTCAAACACTGAGAGACAGCAGGGAAGTGTGAAAACAGGTCATGCACAGTGGGAGGAGCACGAAGCAGAGATTTCCTGGAGCAGACACAAATAAGTGGAAAGTGATATTCAAACCATGGAAATCCAATGATTAGGTCATTCAAATCTCTAAACCTGAAATTTTGGAGGCAGCCAGGTCTGAGTTCAATTTTCAATTATTCACTTATTAGCTAAGTATCCTTAAATAAATGGCTGAATTCTCCCTTCTTATTAATATAATCAAGCTAATGTTTCTCATCCCACAGGTCTGAAAGGGGAAAATGCATTAAGTGTTCAATAAATGACAGTTTTCACAAAGACAAGTCACATGGAAACTGAGCCAGTTCATAAGCTGAGCCTTTTGAACAGCATTGCTCTCACATACAGTTACCCACTTGCAAGCAAAGCAATTTTATTTTTTATTTTGTTATTATTATTTTGAAACACAGTCTCACTCTGTTGCCCAGAATGGAGTGCAGTGGCTCAATCTCAGCTCATTGCCCAACGCCTCCTGGGTTCAAGCGATTCTCCTGCCTCAGACTCCTGAATAGTGAGATTATAGGCATGCGCCACCACGCTTGGCTAATTTTTGTTATTTTAGTAGAGTCAGCGTTTCATCATGTTGGCCAGGTTGATCTCAAACCCCTGACCTCAGGTAATCTGCCCGCCTCGGCCTCCCAAAGTGCTGGGATTCCAGGCATGAGCCACCATGTCCAGCTACAAAGCAATTTTAAACCCAGCCTCCAAACACCGATCATTTGACTAAACTGAACTTTTTTTCTTGAGTTCTTCTTTGAAACACTTTCAAAACAAAATACAGAAAGCACAAATGTTAAATTTATATCTTGTTAGATGTGGCCAATGACATTTCTCTCTTTTCTGTTTTGTTTGGAAAGAGCATCCTCTTCCTTCTGGACTCTCCACCAATGTCATACAGCTGATAAGCTGGGATTTCTTTCTATGTCTGATTCGAGAGTCCAAGCTCTTTATGGTGACTAAAATTCACACATCAGTGGCTCCAGTGGTGCAATTGGTTAGCACACGGTACATATAAACTTCAGACTTCTCTAGCCTTTTCAAGCCACAATTATCAAATAAAAGAGATCCCCAGTAAAGAGGGTAAAACATATCATAGCCTAGGCAATTAATAATGGGCAGAACAGCCTTTGTGATTCAAGAATAAATTTAATGTTCATATAAGGTCTAGTGTGCTTTCCACATAGTACTGATATCTCCATGAATTTCCATCAACATAAGAAACAGAAGTAGAGTTTCTAACTCACAGCTGGGGAAAATAGTTGGTATCTAATAAACACATGCTGATTGATTCTGTGATTGATCGGATCTGTATCCATCACTGCCTTCACTAATGAGGATGCTGATATATAACAGAGCAGCTGTTCAGTTGAAAATAAAGACCACTCTTCTGTAATATAAAAACTGGAGCTTTTAAATCTTACAATTACAGCACCAGAAGTTCACTGGAATCTCCCCTTCAGCCCCTATAGCACTGTGAGTTGCACAGTGTCTAAAGTTGGGGGCAACACACTTTATTATGCATCTGCAATCTGGATGGTAGTTAGTTTGCTGTACACACTTGTTGCTGGGAAACAACCACACATTTCTGAATAGCTTTATTACTAGAAGGATTCAGGGAACAAACCAACCAATCAGAACCTTTGCCATCATTGTTAACCCATGATTACAAGGCAATACGTTGTTCTTTGCTGTGACCACTTCATGCACCCTTCATCCCCCACCCCACAAGGCCTAATCTTCAGCTTCTTTGAATTTAAAAAATCTTCTTGTTGGGTTCATTTGGGGCATACAGGTTGCAATTGAGTGTGATTACCATTTTGCTATTGTTATAAAACCACTGCCCTAATGAGATAGTATATGCATTTATTAAAAAAAAAAAAGTAGATTGCATACAGATTTCTCTACTCAAAGTGTCAGCCTTAATTAAGAAATAAATTAACTGACCCATTAGCCTCCCATGATCTATTTCTTTATTTTCTTATATAGCCATGGTATTCAAGAACAGTCAGCATTAATTTTACTAATTATTCACTAACAAAACTCCATAGATATTGATTGGCCTTGTAATACAATTTTGCCAACACGTAACATACTGTGTGTCTTCCAGTACATTCAAACCTAGCGACTATAAAGAACTATTTCTGCTTGTTAACATTTTTCTTCCATCACGTCAGTATTAATAAGATTTTCTCTTTACTAGGGCCCTACAAGCAATGACGGAAGTAAGACATTACATAACAATGAAAAAGTCATCTAATTTATGCTCCAAGTGGAAATTCCTAGGTGTGTGTGAGTCAGAGAGGCGGAATTATTTCGTGTAGCTTGTACCAAAAGATTAGTTCTTCCTGCTAATATTATGTAGATGTGAAGACTGCGGAGTAACCAACAGACACTGGAATCATTTAAACATAATTATACCAATTTATTTTTAATCAACACATGTTAAAGTAATCCTAAAATGACACAGCACATGTCACCACAGTGAAAAGCCACAATAATTTCATTTATGTTTTTCAAATATTTAATTTTATGTCTTCCTTGTTCTGGAGGCTTCCGTTTTGTTTTTTGTTTTTTTTTTCTTTTTTTATTTTCTTGCCTAATAGGGAAAAAAAAAAAAAAATATATGTATAAAAATATTTGAGGGGAGGTAGGGACTATGATTTTTTATTTAAATATCTTTATTGATAAAATTTAACTTTTTACATTTACACAAGTAATTTACCATCACTGTAATACATAGAAAATTGAATGTAAAATAGGCAAAAAGAAAATATCTACACTCTCACCAACCAAAAATAATTCCTGCCAATACTCTCTTTTGTATAATTTCCTCCTCCCTCTTTCCACTTTCTATGTTTGCCAACATTTGCACACAGTCTTCATTGCTAGGGTTTGTCCTTGAGCATACTGTTCACACAGATGACCCAGGCGAAGGTGGTGCAAGAATTAATAAGGCTTTCCTTCATCATTTACATCTATTTTTTCTCTAGATGACAGCACAGGCAATTCAATAGTATTTCTTTTGTGTTTTATGTTATTTCATTGTTTGGGAAAAAAAAACTTACAAAGGGCTTACTTTCCCTCCCAAGACTCTGAGGAGAGAAAGCCATACTATTAAACATGTAGATTTCTTATTCAGCTCATCATTTTTTCTCTTTTTTAAAGCACTCTTACCAATAAACAAAAATCCATAAAATCTACTTTGATTAAACTCTTCCCACAGTGAATCATCATATTGCATGCAGGAGGTCAAGGAACATTTACATGCTCCAAAACTCCATAATGTGACCCATTGAGAACCTCCCCTCCACTTACCTGTAAGAACCCGTTGGGTCAATTTTGAGATCCAAGATGGCCAAATAGGAACAGCTCCAGCGAGAAAAGCGCAGAGGGTGAGTGCTCACCGCATTTCCAAACAAGTTTTCACTGCCCACAGACCAGGAGATTCCCAGGCCAAAAAGTGCCGTGAGTTTTCAGTGTGGCAGTTTCAGCCAGTGCCAGCTCAGCTGCACAGAAACTCACACAAGTCTGGGCAGCCATTTCAACTGGCACCTGGAATGCCTGGGAGACAGAGTTGCCCATTGAACTGAAAGGGAGGGGGCTGAGACAGGTAGCCAGGCAATCTGGCTTGGCAGGTACACCCCCACAAAACAAGCAAACTGAAATGCTTGGGACTGAGAGTTTTGCAGCAAGCGCAGCTGGACCCAGGACAGTCCAGCTCAGTAGGGGGAAGGGCGTCCCCCACTACTGAGGCAGTCCGCCACCACCAAGGCAGTTCACACAGCAGCTGGGCAGAGCCTGCAGCAGCTCAGCAACACCTCTGCTGGCAGACTGTGACTAGACTACTCTGTGAAGGGCGGGGCATCTATGAAAACAGGCAGCAGCATCACAGGAACTTATAAATAAAGCCAACCTTCCTAGGACAGAGCACCTGGGAAAGGAGGCAGTTATGAGTTCAGCTGCAGCAGACTTAAAGGTACCTGCCCAGCAGCTCAGCACAGAACAACAGAGCTCCCAGCACAGCACTTGAGCTCCTATAAGGGACAGACTGTCTCCTCAAGCAACTCACCAATCCCCGTATACACAAAGAGACACCTCATTAAGGAGAGCTCAAGCCAACAACTGGCAGGTACCCTTCTGGGAAAAGGATAGCAGAGGAAGAAACTGGCAGCAACCCTTGCTGTTCTGCAGCCCGCATGGGTGATCCCCAGGTGAGCAGAGTCTGGAGTGGACTTCCAGTGGCCCTGAAGCAGAG